GTAATGAATCATTTTTTACTGTATTTGGTATTTATTTATTTATTATTTTGTTAAAAAAATCAGTGTTAAGTTTCAGCTGAAGAACATTAGAGAAACATAAATTTAAGAGAAAAAAGTTATACCCGCAACAAAAGTTATATAATTCTTTATTTTATACTTCATGTATTATTAAAATTTTTAGAAAATTATGCGAGTTTTTAAAGAAAATTGAGCATTTAGTGTAAGGAATACAGTACAAAGTCCATAATTTGGATGTCCAGTATCCGAAATGATCTATAATTCGGACCTCAAAGCCACAAATTATACGCATGCATGTAAAGAATGCGTATACATTACATATGCGTGTATAAAATGTGCATACATTACGCATGCACGCATTAAAGGAAATGTTTAATAAAGTAAAATAAATATTAAGCTTCCTTTTTTTTTTTTTTTTTTTTTTTTTTGTAAATTTTGATACCCTTATCACAATGCTCTTATTTCATAATTACGTTTCATATTTTAATTATAATTTCTGCATGCCATCTTACCAGATTTAAATTGGTGATCTATAATCTGGAATCGCCAAAGTCCCAACGAGTCCGGATTACAGACTTTGTACTGGATTTCAAGATGACTACCATTTGGAAATTTCAGTTTAATTAAATAAAGTTGGATTTAGTTGAATTTTTAATAGGAATATTACAGGGAATAAAAGTGTATTCTGATTCAACAACTTTTTTCAGGAAATATTAGAAGCTTCACTCTGAAAGTTGAATTCTTCTGATAATCAATTATTATTTGAAATTTGTGTAGCTATTTGGTTGCTAATACAACCTACTCACTCCTTTTATATCTCTTATAATGTATAATAACCAATCATGTGGGAAAGTGAAGTATTGTGAAATCTTCTACGAAAAATGCCATTCATTGGCTAACTGTTGCAATCATAGTAATTTGTGCAAAATTTATCTTTTTTGTGATTGTTTGTTGTTGTTTCTCTACATAAAAAGAGGTAAACATAGTTACATATTATGTTAAACTTAAGTTAAATTTTAAATTTGGAAAGGCAACGATCTGAGCCTAATTACTCAAAAAATGTTTACCTCTCATGTTCGGACCATTGTCATATTCTTGGCAGCATAAATTACTAATATCTAAACCATTTTACCTCTAAAGTCTTTAATAAGGATGTTATTCGTATCTGTTGTAATATAAAATACTAAAAACCTTTCTTTGCTGCTCATGTCCGTATTTTCTAAATTAAGATACCTCATACAAATTTATCTGCTCTTGATGGCTAGAATCAGGGGTACAATCAAGTAAAATAGAAAAATGCTTTGCCTCTTTGAACTTATTTAAAATAATTTGCTTTATATTATCTTCTAAAAAGCTAATTGTTTTATTCTCAGTTTTATCTTCAAGTAATGAAGCATATTTTGCTAGTTTGAATTTAATATATACAAACATGATAGAATCAAATTTTGTGATCATTTCTATACACTTTAAAAAATTATTTCTTTCGAATAATTTGTTACTGGAACCACGGAAGGCTAATTTTGTTTGGCTAAAAACTGGATGGCACAGGATAATTTTTGAATACCATTGCCCCACCAAGGCTTAATCTGTATTTTTCATAAAAAGTGAAATTCCGAACTAAACAGGTGTGTGTATTCTTTCGAATATTAACAGCAGGACCTTGCTATTAAGGCTTGAACTTGGGATGGCAATAATGGACTTGGGCATAATCCGGAAACATCAGGCACAGGCAAATGTGTATCCAATGCAGAAATTGTAGATTTCAATAATATTTCTCCTGTTTTTTTTCGACCGGCTGCATTGAAGTTAAAGGTAATTCTCACTTGAAAACACTTTCTGATTATTAGGTTCTTCTGGTAATTTCAGTGGTAGCTGAGACATTGATGGACAACCAGTTCTAGTAACGTCAGCTTGGGCATTCTCCAAGTTTTGGAAAAACAGAGTTATTTAGTTCTGGTTTATTAAGGCACCCTCTCACTTTTTTTTTTTTTTTTTTTGTTCATTACATTCTTATAATAAGTTGTTCAGCAGCATAGTTGGTATCCAATGCGTTTAGTTTATTAATTTCGTTTCACTTGCAGTGTTACTTTTTTATAACATGTTGTTGTTGTTGTTGTTGACTAATGCTCAGTTGTCTGACTTTGAGTCAACCCAATCCCACGGAATTCCTTGTGGCAAGAAGTGCAAGATACGCCTGTGGCTAGCAACAGCACCTTACAGGTGACAGTGCAATTTAACTCAGTTTTGCCCAAAATTTTGATGGAGAGCACCCTGGGTTGATGGGTCTGAGCATCCTCTCTTCCCTTACCACCAACCTTAAGTACTTTCGCCTCACATATTTGGAATGCTCCCATGCCGCACGGACATTATACACTTACATTAATCCATGTCTTCTCCAGGATTCGAACCCAGGCCTTTCGGCACAGCAGTCAGCATCGCTAACCACTATACCTGTTGGGTGGGGGACGATTTTATCATAAATTATGATACTTCTTCAAGAAACAGTTTGAGTGGGGTTTTAACAAACCACAAAAAGTTGGCTATTTAGCCAAAAAGTAAAATGATGTTTTTCTCTAGACGTTAATAATGCTTCATTAAGTGTTAACCATAAGGAAGCCCTTAATATTTGCCACTACATATGCGTTCCTAGACGTTGCGCGACGGCGTCAATTAGGCTTGGCGCAGCCTGGGGGGTCATAGACATTACCTCGGTTTACACATTTTGAAGAATAAAACTTATACGAACATATAATGATTACAGTATTTTAAGTTCAATAACACAAACAAAGCATACTTCTGAATACTCAATCGTCTGGAAAAAGAACCCTTTAAACTCTTCGTCAACACCCAGACACTCATCTAATCAGAATCAAACAACAAAAATTTTTATCAGGTACTAGTTCGATGGTTTTACCGAACCACATCTTCAGCTGCAAAACCGCAATGAACAAGATAGGAATACTGATTAGATAAGATAAGAAACCTGGACAAGAATAACAAGTGGCGGCCATCTGTTGGTAAACCAAACTAAAACAAATTTCTTTTAAAGGCCGAAGCAAATTCTGGATTGGAATTAGGATCGTTAACTAGCACAGAAAAGAGTTTTATGAAGTTAAATGCTCTAAAAATCCGTTCTCCATGGAGATGTTTTTTGAATAATTTGGCACCCAATTAAGAAACTTAAAGTGGTGTTTTTGGACCAACAATGTGAGCAACAGAAGACTCTGTTTTTCCTTTTCTAACATTCCTCTGTTCTTGACGCGAATTTTAAGGCTCTCTTAATTCAAATAAACACACTGGCAAGGATCCTATAAATACCCAGGAATTCATATCCGGAATGGGTCCTTGAGTGGAAGCGGAATTTATTGATGGAGAATAACAACCGGAAAGTTAATTTCTGCAAAAATGTGCAACTTTGTAGCTAATTGATGGAAAAGGGAATGACAAAGAATTTTTATAATCTCCTAAAAACAGTTGTGCTTTGTGTGTTGAGATGAGAATTTTTTTAACTGCTTGATTATAATGTTGGTGGAAACCCTGCAAATAGTTTGCTTTAAATATTTATTCTCATCAAGGCTAGTTTGGAGGAGCAAACTTGAAGAGCACGAAAACATAGAATAAATGAGCTAACTTTTGTTTAGTCAATGACATGATTTAAAGTTGGTGGAAGGCAACCGATGAAGGTTACGGTAAACGTAGTACTGCGTTGATGTGTTACGTGTGACAGAATGTCGAGAAACGGAAGAGTGCAAGTCTCAAGTTCAAATGAACTGATAGAAGGAAGAATTCATTTTGAAAGACTTTATTTAAATCAGCTTATTACATCAAAGGGAGTAAAGTATTTCTACGTACGGACCCATGCCGGGAAGTAAGTTCAATTTTGATTCATAATAATGCATTAGATATCAGCCAGGATGGATGAGGGGTTCCCATGCTAATCCCTTTTTTTTTGTAATATTATTTGGAAAACAAAATGTGTTTGTTTCAAACAGAGTTGAGTGAGAGAAATTACTTGGTACTTAGACACTCATCTCCAGAGCTAAATGAAGAGTCACTTGAAACCTCTTCTAAATCAGTATCCGAGTCCTCATACAACAAATTGTCCTCTGTACCATCCAGTGCATTACTAATGCCACACTTCTTAAATGATTTAACCACTGTCTCTGTGTAACTGTAATATTCCCACACTCCACAAGGAAACACGGAAAAATTGCACAACTCCGAATAGTGGAAATTTCCAGAAATAAATGTAATCCAAATCTGAGTATCGACATGTAAGACGCACCTCGTTTTTCAAACCTATTTTCAAAGAAAAAAGTGCATCTTAATTGCCGGCAAATACGGTATTACAAATTTCTGGCTTATAGTGAATAGTCCCCCCCCCTCCCCAAGATTTAATTTTTCTTTGTTAAAAACTCTGCCTACCTTTTTGAATGGTTTAGATAAATAATTTGATCATATATGCCACTTTAATGAGGAAGATAAATTCAATTTTTGTAACCTATTTTGAAGGTTACAAAAATTGATTTTATCTTCAATTAATTATCGTTGGTACTTAGTTTGAAGTAAATGCAAAGAACTATTTAAGTACTCTAGTTAATATGATAATTAGATTATCATATTTGGTCAGGGAAATTAAAAATGAAATTTCAATGTTAATCTTGTTTTATAAAATTTTGATTGATATGGTGTAAATGAGTTGTCAGTTATTACAACAGGCACAAGGCATTAAAAGAAAATTATAGAGTGGCAGACAGACAATTTTTTTCTCTCTTTTTATATTAAAAAAAGGGAAATGTTATAAGTTTTATTGTATTTTCCCTTTGTCTATTATTTATCTAATTTTATAAACTGTTAAATGTTTCATTTAAAAATATTTCAGACACAAGAACCTGATGATGCTTTATCTACTTTTGCTAAAGGGTATGAAGATTACCTACAAATTCCATTGCAAGTATGTAGAAAATAATAAATGAATAAATAAATATATATTTATTACATAATTGCTAACTAATGCCTCCAGTATATAAATATTATTGATCCCTCATCTAGCCTTTGATGGACAATTTAGAATCAGCAACCTATGAAATATTTGAAAAGGATCCAACAAAATATACGGAATATCAACGCGTAAGTATTTATTTATTAAAAAGCTATGTTCATTAATAATGTAATGAGATTTATGTAAATATTAAAACGTATTTTCTGTCTGTGTGTGAAGTATACATTTTAGTTCTTTATTAATATTACTTATGTAAGACAGCAAGCTTGGCAGATCCATTTGAGGAGGAAAACATAGTCAATTATTATGCATTTATTATTTTTTGATCCAGTTAAAAAATAGTTAATTATTATACAATAATTATTTTTCTGTTACAGAATTTAACAAATTTTTCTTCCATTTTAGGCAATTTTTTCTGCCCTTCTTGACAGAATAAGTGATGAAGATAAGGATTCAAAAATAGCGTAACTATCTTTTTTCATTCATATTTGTGAAATAAGCGTAATAATATTGTAGTATACAAGTAAGGAATATTGACATCCATCCAGATTTGTAGAACAACCGTTGAAATGTATATTCAATATTTTTACATTATTATAGTGTGTTTGAAAATTGTGTCTACAGGCTGTATTTTTTTAATATTTCCAGTTATGAAGTTTGTCCAAAAAAGTAAAATACTCCTTGGAAAAGTTTTTTTATGTGTGGATGAGGAAGGGATTGTGTTAACATAAAAGACTAAATCTTAAATACCTTTAAAATCATCAGTCAAAAAGCACATAGTAATGATCCATAAACTTGAGATCGGAGGCAGAGTAAAAAATATATAAAATGATAAAAGGTGCTTTTTTTTACAATAATTATAAATTTTTTCCACAAGCTGGTCATATGAGGGGGGGAAAGCCATGCAGAAAACGCACAGAAATAATAAAAAACATTGCAAAAAAAAGTAAAATGTTATGGAATTATGCTTTGCTTTTTGCATATAATTTACTGTAATATCTTATGTTATATAGTAGTCTGACTTCAGGGAAGGTTAAATAATGCTAATTGCTTGTTTGGATTTCATGAAAGGGAAGGTGAGTAATTTTATGATAGGCATCATGAAAATTACATAAACAGAAGTGATGGAATAAAGGAACCTTTCCTTTTTAACTTCCTTGTATGAAGTAAAAAGAAAGTATTGTAATCGCGAAAATTTTCAGACATCATATTTCGACGAAAATATCCATTTTGACCCCTATCGAATACAATTTAACGATGTTTTTGCGTGACATATGCACGTAAGGACAGAATAAAAGATGCTTTCCCCCAAAAAATTATAGAACTGCTTTAAAATGAATTCTGAAAAGAATTTTTCGCGGCGTCTATGCATACATACATATTTCACATAACTAAAAAATGAGTAGCCTCAGAATGTTGAAATTTTGTATATAGGACTGCTATAACACATAGGTGTGCACCTGGTATTTTGGTTACAATCGGCCACACCAAACATGTATATATATATATATATTCACTCTGTTAACCGGCTCAGTGATCTCGGTTTCTTTACTCTTACATGTTTGTAAGTTGTGCATTTTTTGCTTAAAAAATGATTGAATTATGCTGTTCTTATCTTCCAGTTAAGGTTTTTATGTCTTTAGCATGCAATATTTGTGGAGTTATCAACAATTTAAAAGTTGTTTAAGTGCAGCTAAGCCTAATTAACTTTGCGATGGCAGACATGTTTGTTTATATTTTAATCTTGGCAAAATAGCAGATTTGTTGCCAGTCTAGAGAAACTAAGCTTCACAACAACAAACATAATGCCTTCTTTTATTATTGCGAATTAAATCATGTTTAATCCAATCTGGAATTTATTCAAGGAAATATGTGTCTAAGATTTACTTCGTAATTTTTTAATACAGTCAAATACCGAAAATCTGCAGACCTGAAATCCACATTGCCTCTCAAAATATAAACATTCAGTTTATAGGTTCCGGAAACCACAACATTGAGTACGAAATATCAAAGAAAAAATACCTGCCGAATAATGACGTCATAATTACTGAATAATAATGAGTCATAACGGAAATACCAAATTATTGACATAAAGAAAGTTAAAAAAAATGAGATAAAATAAATAAGATAGAAGTTTTTTTCTCTCTCATCTGCATCGATGTAAAAAAGCAGACAATTCACTCAACTCTTCGTTCAAGTTCACGTTGGAGCCCACCAGCGGCGGAGCGGTAAAGACGCTGAACACTGGTAGTTCGGTCTGAGGTTCGAATCCCGCGAACGGGCTGGCTGCATGGGCGTTTTCGTGGTTTTCCCCATGTGTAACGTGTATACGAGCCAGTTTCCCTTAGAAAGTCCTCCACGAAAGGCATCCCTCCGTTTAGGCAAATAGCCCTCGTGTGCTTTGCCATAATTAAATACACCACACCACCAAGTTCACGTTGTTGTATTATCTGAGCTTTGTTTAGTGCTACTTTTTTAATACAATGACAGATACAAATGCACTCATGATTTTACTGCTTGCAAAGTTGAAAAACGTAAACATGTTGCATTGACGGTAATGCAAAAAGTGCAAATTCTGCAAAAGATGGAGGCAGGTGCTACTCCTCGATTTATAGCAGAATGGTATGGAATTGTGACAGGATTGTGTTAAGCTGTTAAATTTTACAGCAACAGTGATTCTAACACCAGAATCCAAAACCGGAAATCTTTGCATGAGGCGAAATCGGCAAACATCGGTGCTGTGTCAATATAATACAATGAATAATATAATCAATTTATATATGTGATAATAATTTAATGCATATAATAAATTATTGCAATAATGTATATAATAATTTAATAAAATGTATCTAATACACTTTACTTATTTTGCACGTTTAGTCTGAATAATATTCTTTATCATTTCTGTCCTGAAAGCCGCAAAATCCTAAAATCCGCACAGCCTCTGGTCCCAAACTTTGCGAATTTCTTGACTTCTACTGTATAGATATTTTGAGTTTTTATCTATTTTTGCCTTGTCAAGAAGTGAGAACTGAATTAATTGAATGAGAAATACTGAATCGTTTGTGAAAAACTGTTTCTTTTTTGTTTTGTTTGCTTAATTTCTTTTATACACCGTTTTAGATTTATTATAGGTATTTGAATAGAACATGTGGCAGTGATTAGATAATTCTTCAAATGATTTAAATTTATATGCATTTTTAGTTATAATATGAATGAAATGTAACACTGTTATGTGAACCTAGCGCCAGAGTGTCGCTATGGTAATCAAATATAGTTAATTTTAAAGAGTGCATTTATTCTATTGTGGTTTATACGCTATCGACGAAGTAGATTTAATTCAATCCAATAAGTTTAAATGAAATGCAAGAAAAAATGCGTATGATTTAATATTCCGTGCAAGGAAGTCTTGTCGTACACGTCAGATTTTTTATTCTCTGCTAGACTAAGAGAGAATATTTCCTGTCATTCTAACAAGTCAGATCATTTTATAGCCTGTGGGGGCTTAGTACAAAAAAAAAAAAAAAAAAAAAAAAAAAAAAGTGTTGCTTTGAAAGAAGATGCTTCCTTGGATGTTTATTGAAATGCTAGGTCTGAAACTAAAGAGTCTAACAGATATAGCAAAAAAAAAAAAAAAAAAAAAAAAAAGGGGGGGGTGAACTATGAGCTGTAGCTTTGAAAAAAGTTTCGTAAGTATTGGACGGGGTCTAATATTCTGGGTCTCCTACTGTGCAGAGGAGAGTTAAAAAATACACTAATTTCTTTGAACAGAAGTGTGTTGGTATTTTAACTCCGGCATGTTTCTAATTGGTTTGAAGAAAAGTGATGTGAAACTCTCTTCAACCAATGCAAGATCATGTTAGGTATAGTTGCATCAAAAGTCAGTTTTAATATAATTAAGTAAAGGGATGAATAGTGAAAATATTGATGTAAAAAGGGGAGGGGAAAAGAAGGGAGAAAATTGCTTAGTGTGAAGGTTCTGAGGGGTTTTTAGCATCATGGAGAAACAATGAAAGGAAATAACATAAGGAGTTGGAGAATAGAGACGTAAATAGTGCTGTGATGAACCAAGTTCAATGAGCAAAATGAAAAAAATTGATAAACTATATACTTTCTTGGTACTTCTTGGTTCACGTTTTGGTGGCACCCCCACCAAATTATCGTGAACTCATTAATAATTTAATTTTTTTTGTCAAATAGAAAGAAAATTCTTCTTCTAAAATATAGTGTTGAAACATTAACAAGTTAGGGATTGAAGCAAAGACTAGTGGGAATATTGATTTGTTTATTGAAGCAAAAAAGATGTTAAAGGGAAGACAACTGATGTAAATTAGCTAAAATATGTTTAAAATTTTCAAATTAAAAAGATGCATATATATTTTGTGGTGTGTTATTGTTATGAAACGTGCATGTTTTGTAGCTTTATATGTGTAATTATCCTAATATCATAAATTACATGCACACTTATCTGTATTTTAAACTATCAAATGTTCTTAAACTATAAAATAATCTTAGATTTAAATTATAAAAGGTTCTAAGATTATGATTTGGACAGTGCTTTTTTAACAGATATTTTTTAGACATTAAAAAAAAAAAAAAAAATATGACCACGTAAATCTATGATGCTTAAAATGGTTAAAACAACTTAGTACCCTTGGTGCTTATTGGAACTTTATATTAAATACTATATATTAACTGGATTATAACTCCTGCAATTCTATGAAGCTACTGTATTAACTGGGTCAGACAAGACAAAGTACAACAAAATTTCAACACTTACAATCTTGCCAATGCCAGGCATTCATATCTATTCTGATCAGTCTCTCTCTGAGCAAGTGCAGTGATGGCTTCTGTTACAAATAATGTTGGTTATAATTTTACTTCTCATTTTAGCCTATGCCACATGCTATAAAATTTGCATAAACCTCTGGACTATCAGAGTATATGATGAAACAAGGCAAAAAAGAATCAGCATGAAGTTAATTGTTAGTAAAACTTAATATCATCAATCCTCTTAATAAATCTATAGGTGTAAATTTATAATAGTTCCATATATTAAGAAAATAAAAATATGTCTGACTATTAGAAGTGTAAATTTTAGAGGAATTTTGTAATTTAATGCTAATTATCTGCTAAATGACCACTGTTAGGAATGTAGTTGATGATTTATTGCTATCTTTAGGAAATGGAGGCCAAAAAATAAGGAAGTACCCAATTTACTCTTTATTTATAACAATTAAAAAGGACAATTATCTTTTCAGGAATAATTAGTTAACATTAGATACTTCTGTCTGTTCCAATTTTTTTCCCCTCCCATAGTGTTGTAATGGTAGTTGGTGCTGGCCGTGGCCCATTAGTCAGAGCAGCTATTGCCGCTGCCAAGAATGCACAAAGACAGATTAAAGTTTATGCTGTGGAAAAAAATCCAAATGCTGTGGTCACGTAAGTATACTCGCATTCAGCCTTTTCCGAATTTGATCCTTCTAGAAAATGTCTAGTTTTAAAAAAATGCAATTTACTGATTCTTTTAATGTAATAATTAAGTTTATTATTTACAAATTCAAATCCTCTATATTAGTGCCTTCTTTTGAAATTAGAAATAAAAGTAATTAATGAGTATTTGTTAGTTTGTATGTTCTGTTTTCAATACATAGTGATTAATTTTACAACTTTCACAAACTCTTTTAAAGCATGGAAAAATTTAAGTATTTGCTTAATTGTAACACTCTTTGTTTTTCTGACCAATTTTTTTTTTTTTTTTAAATATATTTTAACTGAAAGATGATCTCAAAGAAATAAATTTAGAACTCGGATTAATTGCCTAAATGTCTGAGATTTAGATTTTTGTTTTTCTAGTTTGTGTGCTCAGCAGTACGAAATGTGGGGAGATCAAGTGACAGTTGTTTCTTGTGACATGCGGGATTGGAATCCCCCTGAGAAAGCAGATATTCTTGTTTCTGAACTCTTAGGTTCATTTGGTGATAATGAGTTATCTCCTGAGTGCTTAGATGGTGCACAAAAGTTTCTTAAAGGTAAGTTTAATTATTAGTGGAAGCATTATTATTTTCAGCTTTTGCTGGATATTTACTATAAATACACCTAGGCATATTTGAAATTAATCGACTGATCATAGAAACTACTACTAAAATGGAATCACTGTTTATATTCTGAATTAAAGTAAACATTTAGTTATTCAGAATGTCTTTTTAAAATAAAAGTTTAGTATCTTTATTGCAAAATGATTAAGAAATTACTGTCCTTAACTGCAAACATGAAATAAAATTGTCTGTCAAGCATTAACAAAAAAATATTTTAGAATTTTGCAGTTGTTTTTATCTGCAACGGTACATAATTTAATTATACATAATCTGGAATGTATAAACATTGCACAATAAAAAGCTGAAATATTCTGACTTTTGTAAATGAATTTGAACTGAATAAAATTGTTTAAAATCAGGCAAAAAAGCAACTTTATTTTGACATTGATTTTAAATACAAACTCTCAGTTGGTGATCAGTCAGGTTCCTCCTTTTCAGGAGTGGGTGGGGAGTGTTCAATTCAATATACTGATTTAATTTATGTAATCAAATGAACTTGTTCTCCCAATTAAACTGCTTGAAAATATAGTTAAACTGTTAGTAGTATTTTTCTATTTAATATATTATGGTTCTTTATTTAACTGTCCTTGGATTAAAAATGATTTTAAATTAACTATGCCCAGTTAATTGGGAGAAGACTGCATTTTAATAATATCTAAAAAGTAAAAGTGGATGATAATTGACTTGAAATTTTGCATTTAAGGTATGCAGTTAGTCAAGCTTGTATATAGCAGCGATTCTCAGCCAGTGATATGCACGCCACTGGTGGTACGCAAGAGAAAAATAGGTGGGGTATGCAAAGAAACAAAGTTTTTTTAACTATTAAATTAAAAGCCACAACATCCTGTTTTAAGTTTTTTTCTCATAAATTTATGCGATCTGAGCTATCTTCAAAGTCAGTAGTCACTCATAGATGTTAGCAAAATATTATTTCCCTAAATATTCTTGTAGCCATAGACATAACAAAATTTGTCATAAATGATGTTTATAAAAGGATTAATAGAAATGGATGTTGTATTTGCTACAAAATAAAAATAAGTTCCTATAAAAAGATAATAACATCTCATTAATTCTTTTAGAGTTGATCGATTTATTAGCATGTCTACACTTTACTTTGCCACCATTTCCGTGCTCATATTACTTTATTTACAGTTATATTAATTTTTTTTTCGGTCAGTTTGCTGTCTCTAACAGCAGGCATTTTGTCTTCTTATTCCTTACTTTTCTATGCGATTTAAGAATGTCATGTGCTTTGCAGAATTCGTAAAATACTGTGAATTTAAGTATTTGTGAAAAAATAATAAAACAAACCTAGATTTTCAAAATGAAAAAATAGCTAGGATTGACTACACAGAAAAGGGATGACTCACAGCTGATGGATCCAAGACAATCTACTAGCACAAAAAATATTGAAAAGAAATGAAAAATTAAGACACAATAACACGTCAAATAAATACTAATTCAGAAGTCAAACAACAAAAATCAGCGTTATATTTACAAAATTTTCACAGGACTAGTTTCGATGGTTTTACCGAACCACCATCCTCAGCTGCAAAACTGCAAATGAACAAGATAGGAAATAATGATTAGATAAGATAAGAAAGCCTGGACAAGAATAAGAAAGTAAAGTTCTTGTCCAGGCTTTTCTTAAGAAATAAAGTAAGAATAAGAAAGAGAAGAATAAGAAAGTAAAGTTCTTGTCCAGGCTTTTCTTATCTTATCTAATCATTATTTCCTATCTTGTTCATTTGTGGTTTTGCAGCTGAGGATGGTGGTTCGGTAAAACCATCAAAACTAGTCCTGTGAAAATTTTGTAAAATATAATGCTGATTTTGTTGTTTGACTTCTGAAATGAAAAATTGTTTATAGAAAATGTAATGAAAGTTATTTATCGTTTGGGTTTACTTTTAATGGAGGTGAAATGGACCCTCAACCTCAATGTGTTGTTTACGGTGAACTGTTATCCCACCAAAGTATGAAATCATCATTTCTTAAAAGACATCTTGAATCTAAGCATGCCAATTTAAAGGATAAATTTGAAGAATATTTTAAGAGGAAATAATCTGAGTTCAAAAATAGTAAACAAGTAATGAAAGGTTTTGTGAGGTTTTGAAAGGTGAAAAAACTTTGGAAATTAGCATTTCCAAGACTGGGCAGACTCACACTGTTGGAGAAAACCTTATGTTACTAGCAGCTAATATCATTTTTAAATTTTTCAATGAAAAAGCGGCTAATGAACTTAATCATATTCCGTTATCAAATGGTACAATAAATCGACGAATTCATGAAGTGGCAAATTCCATAAAAGAGACTCTTATTTAAAAAATAAAACTCAGTGAGTATTTCGCCTTGCAGCTGGATGAAATTAACAATATAATAAACTTTGTTCAATAACTAATTTACATACATTTCAAAGTAGATAAACGAATTGCTGAAGAGTGTTTATTTTGTGGATCTCTTCATGTTAGAGCAACAGCAAATGAAATTTTCGAAGTAATTGACAATTTTATGTCTGAGAATGATATTCCTTAGAATAAGCGACAGAGCTCGGAGTTTAACAGGAAAACATTCCAGTGTCATTTCTCAAATAAAGAAAGTCACATCTGAAACTAAATTTACTCACATTATGAAGCTTTTAGTAGCCAAAACAATCCCCGAAAACCTGAAAATTGTTTTGAATCAAGCTGTGAGAACTCTTAATTTTATTAAAAGTCAAGCTTTAACTTAAAAATTATTTAAGATTTTATGTGAAGATATGGGCAGTGAACGTGAAACGCTTGTTATATTATGAAGTTAGGTGGAGGTAAAGTTTTAAATTGTCTTTTTGTACTTTGATAAGAACTTAAAATTTTCCACTGCGATTCAAAATTCGAATTGCAAAATTGTTTATTTAGTGAATTATGGTGTGCACGTTTAGCATACTTAGCTGATATTTTTGGAAAGTTAAATTAATTAAATTTAGGATCACAAGGCAAAAATGTTAATTCGTTTACCATTGGAGATAAAATAATTGCAATGATAAAAATTCAAAGAATTGGAAATAATATTTTAAGCTTTAGAATTGGAAATAATATTTTAAGCAACTACTTTTAGAATGTTTTCTAACCAAAAAATAATTTGAAAATAGAAAAGAATTAGCATCCGACATTAAAAATCTTTGTTTTCATCGATAAATAATTTCAACATGTATTTTCCTTAGGATTTTGAAAAATAAAGTTAGATTAAAAACCCATTATATTCAGATATACCTGAAATGTTATCTTGTGAATGTAAAGAACAATTGATAGAAATTTCGTGTGATCGAACTCTAACTGAAAAGTCCAAAAATAACACACTTGTTAACTTTTGGCTGAACTGTAAAAAAGAATTTAAACACATTTCAAATAAAGCTATTAAATTTTTATTGCCTTTTTACTGAACCTATTTGTGTTAACAAGGATTTTCTTGCATGTTATATTTGAAAAATAAATACAGAACAAAATTAAAAGTGGATCCTTATTTACGATTAAAAGTAAGTGAAATAAAAAAAGACATAAAGAAATTGATCTGTCTTAAACAGGCCCAAATTCCACGCTAAATTTTAGAATGAAAGGATTATAACTTAAATTTTTATAATTAAAATAGCAACCATTTTTTAATCTGATATTTTTTTATATGTGCATATTTGACACAAATAGCCAGTAAGTTATGCAGATGGCAATATATATTTATGTGCATACTTGACACAAATAGCCAGTAAGTTGTGCAGATGGCAATATATATTTTTAATATTTCTCTTGAGAATTCTCTGCTCTGCGGGGGGCAATGACTTGGAAGTTGATCTGTCAGCACTATCCTTATCTTCAGAGCAGATATTTTTATTTTATTTGGCTTATAATTCCTTACTAAATGTAGTATTTCATCTCAATGTACTCCGTCTTTGATATGTTTTAAATCAAGTTCCTCGTTATTATAATTTGCTTCCGATAGTGAAGAAAGTGACACAGAGGTTATTGAAAACGGGAAAAAAAAAAAAAAAAAAAAAAAAAAAAAAAAAATTCCCCGTTATATGTCGCGCAAATAGAAGAGCATGGATGACACAAGTGTTGATGAATGATTGGTTTGAAAATCATTTTATACCCAGAGTTCGGTGACATTTGAATTTGGTTGGTTTACCTGATGACTCAAAAATAGTCCTGATTGTTGACAAGTGTTTGGCGCATACTTCACTTAAAGTTTTAATGAAAGATAATGTATCCATATTATTCTTCCCTCCAAATCGTACATCTATCATTCAGCTTATGGATATGGGAATAGTGCACACTCTGAAATGCAAATATAAAGTAGCATTTTAAAAATCTATGTTAAATTTCTTGAACAATGGGAAGACTATTCAAGACTTTTTGAAATTTTTTAGCATAAAATCTGGTGTGTGGAGCATCGCAAGATCGTGGGAGAATTAACAGATGGCAAAATCTGTAGTATGGTTCTAAATCGAGAAAATACCACTTCCGATAGTGAAGAAAGTGACAGAGAGGTTATTGAAAACTAAAAAATTTCGATTGACAAGTTAGTTGGTATTCTCGACACAGCAATTACAGGACTTCAACAGTGGAACTTTGTAACTGAAGAGGAAATTATGTCTGTTTATAGAATTAAAGAGAAAGTATTAGCACAAAAAACGAAGCAACTTAAACAACTTACATTGAAAGAAATGTTTAATAAAGTAAACAAATAATATACCTTTTTCTTTTGTAAATTTTGATACCCTTTAGATCATAATTGTTCTTTATTTCATAAATTATGGTTTCATATTTTTAATTTTATAATAGCTGCATGCCATCTTACCAGATTTAAACTGATGATCTATAATGTGGAAAAATCGATAATCCGGAATCGCCGAAGTTCCGATGAGTCCGGATTAATGACTTTTGACTGTAGTGGGTTTAATCCTA